ATTCCGGGCAGCTGCAACGTATCACCTCAAATACGAAAAGCGCCATCTGCACATATTTGACTATTCAAAGTGAACTAGCTGTCATCAGTATCGATGAGTCATCGATGCTCAATTTTGGGTCATTAACGGTACATTGAAAATTGCAAAAGTGCCGTTTATGACCTAAAATTGAACATCAATGACTCATCATTACTGATAACAGCTAGTTCACTTTGAATAGTCAAATATTTGCAGATGGCACTGCAAAATCGTTCATCACTGACAAACGTCAAATTAGTATGGAAAGAAGTCAATGTTGCAGCCTCCTGGTTCATTCAATTTTGTGAATGAAACATATACCTGTTTATTTCACACAGTTCAAGTGTTCGCTCGTGCATTCACAATGTTTACCGTTATTGTTTCTTCCTATGCTGTTATTTTACTCCCCGTTTTAGACTAGGAGGAAACCGCGAATGTTTTGTCTACAAAATTCGTTTCTATCATTCAATTTTAATACCATCTGTATGTTAACTCAATAATTTGACAAAATCTGTAATTATTGAATCATATGAATGGTTTGGAGCGAAAATGTAATACAGAAAAGTTATTATAGCTATCCCTATAAATGACACTTCTGACATTACCACAATGTGAATTCTCTGACAGCTAAACTGACAGAAATATCGAATCGTTGTAATAACAACGTACAATTGAAAGTTATAATTTGCAATGATCTTTTTCTGGAGAAAGTTTAAACAATTTCACAATTGTAAATTTCCAAAAAAAAAAATATCAGAAAATAGTAGTCACACCATATTTACCACTAAATTGAAATGTCAATTTGACAGTATCAACAACAGTGTGCTCAGATGCAAGATCAAATGGTTGTCAAATTGATTGTCAAAAAAAATCGGAAATATCTGCCAAAACTATGATAAATCTGATCATATCTAATGATATCTGCTGAATTTGAAATAAATATTAAAATCAATTATTATTTTCAATTTTCTAAAGCACGGTCCAAGCCCCTACGTTTTAGACACATTAGAAATGGTACAATGAAGTGTGCTCTCCTATAAATAGCTATTGCACAGCGTTGAATCAGACAGCGAAAAAATAAAATTACACTCAGTTTTTTTTTTTATAGAAAAATCAAGTGAAGGTATGTGAAGGTATGGTTTATTTTGGTGTGACTTATGTACTTTAATGAACCAATTTCAATGTTCATGTCGTTTCTTTCGTGTTGAATTTTTTTTCGTCTTTCCATTTTGCGTGCAATTCTTAGGAATCATCGTAAACTGGTATTTTAGTACTTCAATTGTTTACATTATTTATATTTCCGATAGTGGCCACTAGCTCGCATATTCCCTTCTCGCATAGTATCCATCGACTGTAACTCTAGTCTGACGGTCATGCCCATAAAATTAACGCAATAAAGTGAAAAGAATATTTCCTGTAAAATTGCGAGGGGAATAGAGGCGAAAGAATGATTATGTTCAACAACTTGTCCGTCTCAATAGACTACTCGAATGATTTTTGAGTGTGTAATGGCATGGCAGCTGTCAACGGCTATAGCGTCCACACTTCATCATCTAAGTCGTCGGTGCTCCGGGAATCGTGGCCACCGCTTGGAATCAACTCTTAAAAATTAAAAATTGTTTCGTTCTTCTCTCCTATCGCTTTTTCTCGTTCAAGACAAAACATTCATAAAATATTCGGCAAGTTAAATGGTTTGGATTTATTAAATTTGATTATGATTTGATTATAAATGGATTTACATTTTTAATGGATTTATATGTAATAAGTCGTGGTCATTAAAGTGAAATTTATGGCATTTCATTTGGATTGTGATGTCGAATGCACGTCACCTCAATACATTCCGTCTACATAATTTTAATGGAGGGTCTACGAAAATGGTAGGAAAAAAACTTTTCCCTCATGATATTTACTTTTTTTTTCTGTTGTTTTAAATTCAATTTGCGATTTTCATTCATTTTCTAAGATTTTGATTTTAAGTGACAATTGACCACGGTTTTACTGGGCACACCGAAAAAATAGTAAATAATGTGTGTTGAAATTATGGTGGAACTTATTGTGGCGCTCAGTCGCAAAAAGTATGTAGCGGCATTCGAATGGGATAAAAATAATCGCTTTTCGCATGTCGTGATAGGTGTTATTGGCTGTAGACTACTAACTAATACGTACATGGCCAAATGCCGTGGTAGGAAGAATAAGAAAGCCAGAGAGAAAAAGCGAATTATTATTTATGTATGTTATTTGGAATACATATCTAAAGTAGAATTTTTCATTAAACATTTTATACGATTCGGTTGCGTAACGGATTGCCATTATTTGCATTTTATCAAAGAAACGGTCGACGGTTCCCCTCCTGCGCTTTCGCATTTAATTACTATTTAGATGAAGTAAGTGTGAAATAAATATTCGTTGATGTTTTTATTAAGTTTTTGGGTGTATACAAATGGAATGGTGAGACCAAGTCTGGTCTCGATGAAGTCATCATACTTCGATAAAACTGTTTTGCTGGCCAAATTTGGATTGTAAAGTTTGATCGAGATTTGTGGAGGAAATATATAATGGAATCGGAATCGGAGAAATTGATAAAGTTGTTTTCTTTCTCCCTCTCTTCCTCTCTCACTCATTATATATTGAGTCAAGTGCGACAAAGACCACATTTGAAACCATGAAAATTGTAGTCGAATAGTTGGTTTTTCGTTTATATTGCTTTTGATGTCCTTTCCTATTGTAAGCAAATTTTAATAGCATCTCGAATGAATGGTGGCGGAAGGTCCAAGAATGATTTACTAATGACCTGTATTAGTTTGCACAGTGTACACTGTACACACCCATAATGATGTTGCTGCAAAAGAAACAATGAACATGAATTAAGAACTATAAAATACGAGCAAGATTGGTGTTTGGGATCGACACTGCTCCGGATCGGCAGCAACAAAGACGGAAATGTGAACTTGTACAGGAGACATTATTCATAAACCGAGCCGAAATATAAACGCATTAAAATGTGATAACAAGTTAAGTTTTCGATGTGTTGTTGTGCTTTTCTATGTGTTTTGTCCGGTTGACTTTGGCCCTTTCCAAAAATCACTTGTGCTACAAATCGTTGCGTTTCTATCTTTACCGACCTTGTTTTGAGTTCGCGTGCTGACTTCTGTTCACTGTCCGACGAAACCGATTTTGATAAAATATTATACTCACAATCAATGCAACATTTTCACAACGTGATTGTGTGCTACGGTCGAAAGGAAAATCAAGCGTCACAAACACACACTCTGATCGGGCCAAAGTTGGTGGCATAAGTGCCAAGGCGCACGGCTGTATGTGTGTGTTTATGTGTTTATGTGCCTTACTTCTTTTTTTTTGCCAAACAACACACTTGTGCAAAGGCAATAAATACCGAACACCCCCACCATTCGCAGCGTTACACCATTTTCTTTTCAACAATAAATTATTTATATAAATTTTGAAATTTTCATGATTAGAGCAGACGCCTGTTGTGCTGCTGTCCCAAGCCGAGCCTGTGTGTAAATTTATATACACAATAAAGTGAATGGGCATTCTACGTATTTCCCTTCATTCACTTCGTATTGTCGTCGATGGATCACATCCTTCAATGGGCATATACACACAGAGACTATTCGAACCGTCTAAAGCGTAACTCGCTCACTGCCTCTTGCTGAAAACTTTGAGTACGAACGAACACACCATCATCAAGGATAAAAAAGATTGCGCATAAAGTAAATATATATTTGCATGTCTTCTTTCGCAAATGTTCATTTTCACACAGCAATTGCAGCATGCTGCTGTGACGCACCGAGAGAAAGAGAAAAACAATGCGAGACGACTGAGTGTTGACCGACGATGAGGATGGGGAAACGAGTTTTATGGGTGAAAAATTGAATTGTGTAAACATTGCCGATTACTGTCATTACTCATTTCGCTCTCAACCGAGTTAAATATTTTGACAATTAACGTAAATTAGCAGGTCAAATGAGATTCCCCAACAAATTTTCTTATCTCTTCATTAATAAAAAGTAGAACTTGATACGTCTTAATTGTGGTAAAAGCTTAAAAGTGAGAATATGGGCACGGCCCAATAGATCTTCACTATGGCATGAATTCAATGCGCGCAACGGACTTGTTTTTATAGTGGTTTGAAATGAAAACAAAAAACTTTTCTTTATCACCACTACTTTCAGCAGCAACGGCTATTTTATAGGCATGCCGAGTATTTTTTTTGTGTGTTTTCCTCGTCGGTAGTGGTTGTGCTGCTGTCTTCTACAGAAGGATTGTAGAAAGCGCCTAAGGAATATGAAATGTTGTGCGACGACCGCTGTCTGGTATGTGAAGTCGGCGCACAGCACTTGGTTTTCGTTACGATTTGAACTTACAGTACTTTTGTATTTATTTTATCAGATTGTTTTCTCTCGACTGCCCATAATTTATGCGGAATGAAACTCGGGTGTAACATCAGACTGCGTTTATAACTAGGGGAAAAACTATTAAACTTTTGTTTAAAAGATGGTAAAACTGATTTTTATCTGTATGCGTGTCTGTGCATACTCTTTCAAATAAACGATGAGCCCACAATGTACCAGAACAAAGTAGCCAATGCGTTGCTATTCAACTACTATATCTTCATTTAGCTGGATATTGTTTTGCAAGTAAAAGAGAAAAAAAACAAGACCGCACACGCTGCCTCATCTCGGATGAGTTTAATTTTCGGGAGAAACAAAGCGTTAACCAGTTTATAAGAAGAATATATTCGCACTCACAAATGAAAGTGTAATGCTATCAACCTCAATACTAGTCGATAACTAAACTAAAATTTACTTAACACTCTGTAATTTTTGCAAAAGCTTTGGATTTTTTTCTTCATTTTCGGAATATCTGAACGTGAAAAGGGTTATCACAGAAATTATAACAATGGCCTGATATTACTCATTTTTTCATAATTTTTTATATCTGTTATCAACTGGTATTCAGTTGTAAAGTCAGTCTAGACACAGACTTTTGAGGACTAGACTGATTGTTGACTAGCGACAAAATGCCTGACACTCGAAACCAAATTGTGAGAGAAGTGAAAACTCGTTTATAATTATCTTATAAGTGACGTATGATACCAACAAATGTGAATTCGATTATTATTGACGTATTAATACTTATCGAACACAATACAATTATCGGGTACATCACGTGGAAAATATTTGTGTTGTTTCATTTTGTTAATGAAAAATCGGCAAAACTGATTGATTGTTGTAATTTAGATTGATATATTCACAGAATTCATTTTGACCCCAAAGCAATTTTTTTTTTCCACAAGAATAACCACTTGAAATGTTTGATTGTTTGGCGTGTATGATCATTGAATCGAATAAAAAACGATTTCTAACTTAGCAATTAAATTGGAAATGTCATTTGATCATCGACATTTTCGAAGAATTGACAATTTGAATCATAGTAAACAATATTTTCTGTCGGTGATTATCTGCATACAGTTTTTTTTCTTCGAAAATTGGATACTTCGTACGAAATTGAATTCATTTGAGAAATAAAGTTACAAATTTATTACGTTTGCAATCATTTCATTGCCATTTGTTATTTTCGGCACAAAACCATTTAGATAAAGAAAGGTGATTTAAATGAAAACAGCGAACGAACAGAGAAAAAAAAATCGGTACGAACACGCGTCGCGATTTTTTCTTCAAAACAACCAATTTCAATACAATCTTCCTCAATCCATCATGTCAATAGTTTAATTGTGATGGTTGTGATGGTGATAAAATTGAATATATGACGAACAATGAAATCACGAGTGATGAACTACAATGTGCTATTTTGGATGATTTATTGAATCAAGTCCGTTAAAAAGACAATGTCATAAACAAATAAATATGGATCTGATATTGTGTTCGAAATAATACACAGAAATGATCCGTTATCTCACTATCAATAATATTGTATTTGAATTCAAATATTTAACAAACGCAAATACGAATACAAATACAAATACAAATTAGAGTAAAGAGCACGAAAGCAAACAAATACACACACACAGAGAGAGAGAGAGAGAGAAAATCGAAAATGCGAAAATGTGTTTGTGAATTTTCGCATTATTTGATTGCATTTCAATGGATCGAAGAGCATGGCAGTTCACAGAAATCATTCAATTATACACAAATGCTAAGACACTCACACTCTGTAGTGTAAAGTATAGGTGCTTCGAACAATGCCGGCGAATGTTGAATGTAAAGAGTGCGACTGAGAAAGAAGAGAGAGGGAGACAAAAATACTCACACTCCAATCGCTTATACACGAATCAGTGCGAAAAAAAGGAACGGTAAACACGAATAAAGTTGAAAAAGAAACTATGAAGATAAAAAACGAATCGAAAGTAAATAGATCTATTTTTTTTCTCATTTGAAGTTTCACAAACTGATAATCAAGCCTAATACATCTTTTAGTGCCATTCGACTGTGAACGTATTTCATGGCACATTTCATTGATTTTCACACAAAAAAAAAGCAACCATTCAGTTGAAGTCAAGTGATATATTGAGTTGGCGTGTCATCACTTATTCCAGTCATTGATTGAATGCTGTTTTTAATTGACAAGTCATCACATTCTTTCTCTACAAAAAATGTCAAATGGATACTCAATTACATCTGTGTAAAAGCGTCACCTTCATATAAATTATAATTTTGGATAAATTTAAGTATCAGACGTGTTCTAGCTTCCACAGTGAATGGACTTGCCGATCAAATAATACAACAGAAATTGATGAGAACGAGAAAATAACGCGAGTGTACACCGTTTTCTATTAATTTGCTGCTATTTTATGTGCCGGTGAGAATTTGCAACACACAATAAGCAGTCGATTAAATGACACAAATAGTTGCATGTGCCCGTGTGTGCTATTGTTCGATAAAATGAAGTGATTTATAGTGTAAAATTCATGGAAAAACCGTAAACAGAATTTAGAAAGAAAACAAGAAAACAGCTGACAAATATATAGCACAAAGATGAATGCAGAAAAAATTATAGACAACAAATCCGCAATGAACGTATGTATTGGTTACTTGAAATTCAAACGAAATAAAAACAACACATTTGAAATATGTAAATAGAATAGCGATGGAGTTAAAAAAAAAATCCGGTTTATTCATTTTCTATCTGATTTTGCGTGTTCATTTTGAATTCCATGGCCTATTAGGCATTCCATTAGCTATTTACATGTGAATACTAGACAAAAACAAGTTGAAAAAAAATTAGTGATATCTTTCATTTCTCTCTTTCTCTCTTTCTCTCTCTCTCACTCTCTATTTGTTTCTCTTCGCGCATGGAAAAAAACTCAAGTTGATATCATACCATCAATTAATGCTTTCAAATACGTGTGATTTTTCAAATGTCACGTAATCTTTACACCTTACACTTCACATTAAACAAAAAATTCGATAAAATCATTATCGCAAAATATATTTTCGGAACAATATTCATACGTTTGAAAATTTCCGCAGGTGAATGAGTCCAAAGCCAAATTCGTCTCCAGTTGAAATATGTAGTCTCAAAATAGATATTCTCTTGGTTCTAATTCTATGATGCATTTGGTCCCCTTGTGTATATACATACAATTGAATATTCATTTGATCAAGGTTGATGAATTTCGATACATCAAGTGTTTTCTTGTGCGCCCGTTGTGAAATATATCAACAATTGACCTATTTCATGCACACATTTCCACAAATACATACACACTACGGTATCGATTTGTAGCGGTAGCAAAGTTCTCTGTTGCCTGTTTCATCCCAAACACACACCGGCTCGATTAAAATCATAAGTTTTATAAACTGATTATCGCGTGAAATTCGTCGAAATAATAAACTTTGACAAGAATCATAATTCCATCATCATCAATTTAATCAACAAAATTATAGGACAAGCATGCCAAATGACAACATTTGATTGGTTTATTGTCACAATAATGTAAACTAGGGTCCCCAAGTAGTCGATGAATCGGCCAATAATAAACACTTCTTTCTTTTTAATTTGATGGAATGGTTGAAAATTTGAATGGCACGTGTTATTGATTCCGTGAGTGAATTTTTTTGTTTTGAAAATAGCAGATTTTCATTGTATTATTTTTGCTCTGAGTTTGTTATTCAATTTCTCAAAATTTTTTAAAACCAACTTTATTAATTCCTCACTTGAATAACAAACTCAGAGAAAAAATAATACAATGAAAATCAACTATTTTCAAAACAAAAAATTCGAATAACTTTGAGAAACCCGGGACCCGGAAGAAGGTGTTCTCTAGCATGCTCAGTGATTGCGACATCGCTCTCAGTATCTCATAGGATAACTGAACGAGATAATTCAGCTGGCTGAGATGACGCAGCGACGCATCACCTGAGTCTGTGCGATACACATACACACAATGCGCCCAGCGGTATCCTTATACACTCAGTCCCATTTAGTGACGCGCGGCATCGAATTGTGTGTGTGTGTGTGTGTGTGTGTGTGTGTGTATCACAAAGACTCGGGCGATAGACTTGGGTGATGCGTCGCTGCGTCATCTCAGCCAGCTGAATTATCTCGTTCAGTTATCCTATGAGATGCTGAGAGCGATATCGCAAACACTGAGCATGCTTCAAACTCATGTTAAACTTGACATATCGTAAACCATCCAAAT